CGCGTGATCTATATCTGGTTACAGACTTCAAAAGCGGAGGGGAGTTGTTCTGGCACCTACAGAGAGAAACCAGGTTTTCGGAAGAACGCGCGAGATTTTATGTTGCGGAGTTGATTTTGGCTCTAGAACATTTACACAAATACGACATCGTGTATCGAGACTTGAAGCCCGAGAACATCCTTCTCGATGCAACAGGACATGTCGCACTTTGCGACTTTGGCTTATCGAAAGCCAATCTACGCGCGGACGAGTTGACGACGACATTTTGTGGCACTACAGAGTATCTGGCGCCTGAGATACTGTTAGACGAACACGGATATTCGAAGATAGTCGATTTTTGGAGCTTGGGGGTGCTCTTATTCGAGATGTGTTGTGGATGGAGCCCATTCTACGCCGAGGACACACAACAGATGTATAAAAACATCTGCTTCGGGAAGATTAGGTTTCCAAAGGGTGTTATAAATGAGGACGGAAAACAATTCGTCAAGGAAGTAAGTAACTCGTACCCTTTTTTCTCTCTCGAAACTGTATAAAACTTACTAATGATTGTTGGTTCAGCTTCTGAATAGAAATCCCAAGAAGCGTCTAGGTGCCATTCGCGATGCCGCAGAGCTCAAAGAGCACCCGTTCTTCAAATCGATTGACTTCAACCTTCTTGCGCAAAAGAAGGTCACTCCTCCTTTCAAGCCCGTCGTTGAGTCAGACGAATCTACATCAAATTTCGATCCCGAGTTCACGGAGAAAAGCATAACCGACGTCGGTCTCAACGAGGATGATTATGCTGATTTTGCTGAGGACGATCCTTCCGAAAGCTGGGTATCCCAAAGCTTGGGGACAAGTAGCCTTCCCGGAGGTCATATGCACAATGGGCCTCTAGGAAGTGAGAAAACAGGGAAGACACCGCCTATGACACCTATTTCACCTATGACAACGATGACATTGCCGAATGGCACTGCGCACAGTACACACAAGACGGCAAAACACAAATCCTCCAGGGGTGGAGGCGGACTATCGCGGAACGGGAGTGGCGCTTCGACAAAGTCGAACCGATCGTCAAAATCATCACTCAACCGTGCCGTGAATGGGATCGATATTCATTCCGCGGGACGACCGGCTAAGAAACGCCAACCTGCGGGTACACCCTTGACCAATAGCGTACAGGAGAACTTCCGTGGGTTCACATATAGTGGCGGAGAGTCGGTGTCAGCGCATGCGGATGCTTTCGCATCGCGGAAGATTGAAGATGATGATGATGACGAGGATTACGTGGACGTCGATGATGAAGTCGGAGGTGGAACAGAAGACGAATTTGAAGATTTCGGGAAAAGTGCAGGGAGGTATGCCAATATGAGGAAAAAGGGCATGGGATTCACGGATTTGGATGACATGAGTTAAGGTTCGTTTGTCTGTGTGTGCATTGAAGTCAAATGTAGACGGAATGGGGCAGTATCCTCAACCGGGATGCTTTAATTGGGTCTTGCTAATGACTCTTGGGTTTAAATCTAATGGTAAATCGTCTCATCCAAGACATACTGTGAACCGCTGGAGAGGTTGTAGGGTTGCTTTTCAAAATTTGCTTTGACCCTGGCATACTCCCTCTGGAACCTGCACGCTGAAGTTCTATGTGTTTGTCTTTTCCCTTTCAAGTGTTCTATGCTATCGGACCTTGCTTCTTTGAATGTTCTGTATTGTGATCATCATTCACTACCAGACTACTAACTACTTCCAACTTGAACAACCTTTTCGACTGTATATACAAGTATAACATTTACATATTTATCTTCACATAAAGTTACAAGTTGTAATACCAGTTTCAATCTGCAGAAGTGAACAGACTCAGAATTACGAGTAATCGTCAATACACAATAATTCGAACACTACGTAGCATGAAAGCTTAATCTCAAGCCTAAAGTACTTCCTTGTTTGAGTAGCAGCAAGAGCACACAATTATTTTCCTGGTGACCTCGACCGACTGTCTCTGATATCATCTCGGCTGCCTTTGCTCCGGCTCCTACTTCGACTATAGGACGAATACGACATTGACCTGGACTTTGACCGCGATCTTGTCCTCGACCTTGAATGAGAGTATGACCGGGATCTGCTGGAGCGCATAGAATAGTAACTCCTCGATCTGCTCCTGCTCCTCGAGCGGGAACGAGAGACCGACCGGCCCCTGCGGCCATATCCACCTCTCGAATAGCTTGGAGACCTCCTCCTTGGACCTAGCCCACCCTTCCTTATCGGCGAGCGAGAGCGAGACACTCCACCCATACGCCCTCGACGCGGAGGAGGTCCACCACGTCCACGACGACCATACCCTCTTCCTCTGTAACCTGGACCGTCATCTTTACGGCGGTATCTATTTGGAGGTGACCTGGAGCGAGAGGAAGTTGGTGAGCGGGAGTATGACCTATTTCTGGCTCTGTCACGCCCATTGCGACGAGGGGGAGCCCTCGGTGAACGAGACCTGGATGAACGAGAACGAGAGCGGGAACGGACAGGAAGATCAGATAGCTCGATTTTGAGAATTGCTCCGTCAAGCTGGCCACCGTTCATATGGGAAGCAGCGACATGTGCTTCAGAGGGCTGGGAGAATTCGAGTGCTGCTTTGCCTCGATTTTGACCAGCTGCAAGTAAACATAGTGAGCATTAGGAGGCAGTGAGGAAAAGAATAAAGAGTTTACATTTGGTATAGAGTGGAAGATCAAGTTTTACGATTTGCCCGTAAAATCCAAATACAGTCCGAAGATGCGTCTCAACAATATTTCGCGTTAAATTGTTTATTATGATGACCTTGGCGTCTGGAAGATCATTCTCCTTGCCAATTTCCATGTCAATATCGGCATTGGAGTTCTGCAATGGACGAGGGGAAGTGGAACGACCTCTTTCGGACATGATACCACTATGAGATGGTGAAAGAAACTAAATTTCAAGTTGTCACAAACCTGTAACTTTTGCTTTTGTCACAAGGTGTCACGAGCGTTGGACTCGCGCTAGTAGTTGAAGCTCTTCCTTGAATAATTTCCAGCCGCAGTTGCAATATGTATACATTACTTTATGTAAACACACCATTGACTCTCGACAAAGCCCATGGACTACCAGCAGTGTAAAAGTCCATGGGATAGTGTATACCATCGATTTCCTTATTATTCGATCCTTCCAACGCTTTAGCTTCTACGTCAGAATCAAACCACTCCATATTCTTTCCTGTACCCATCACTACGGCGCATTCATACGGGCTGAGCAACGGGCGTTCAAACGCGTATCCCCAATCGATGGAAAGTCGAGGGCAGGAAGTTTGGATAAAAGTGGATATTCGAGGATGGATCGTAGCTGGTGTTTTGGAGACTTCGTCTGATCTTTCAGGAGTAGATGAAGGTTGACCAGCGTTGAAGAGTGCCAACTTCGCAGGCGAAAGTTCGGAGAGAAGAATGGGCATATAAGGGATAGGTGTACGGGACTCTCGCAATTGGTTTGTTATCGCCTGTTGATTATTTCGTATCAACAGCACGCAATGAACGGATGAGTCGAGTAAAATGCACCTGTAGTTGTCTAAAACTTCCTTGTCTTCCAAGGGTACCAAGGATCACACCCCAAAGAGGCATATCATCTTCAGTGGAAGGGAAATCCATTGTTGTCACTGCAGACGTCTGTCTCCGCGATCTAGCAGTCTCGACCCACCCAATACTTTTCCTTGCCCCCTCAATTGCATCTCTCCTCACTGATCTCATCTCTTTGTGACCGTACCGCTCACGAGTGAGCTTTTTGGAATAAGGATCATATCTGAACGCTGGTACGGACGGATTGGCGATCATGATAGCTTCAAGGTGGAAGCGACCATCACCGAGATAGCTAATAGAGGTTTCATGTATATTCAAAAAGACAAAACGATGGCTTACACAATTGCATCAACCTCTCCGCTTAACTTTGGTGCTGTGCATCCGAGGACTTCACCGGGAGACAAAGGTTTGGATCGAGGGATAGTTGGATCGTAGAAAGAAGTCCATAACGGAGTAGTAGAAGTCGAAGAAGGAATGTACGGGACACTCAGATCTTCCTTCAGGCGTTGCAAGGCAGCGACAAATTGGATGGTCGAAACTAACGCCAGCCTTGTCGGATTTAGATCCTCCTCAGAAGGTACCACAGCTGCTTCTCCGTCTCTTTCCTCTCCGGACTCAGGCGGAGGAGCTTCTATTCTCAGACCCGGACCAGCAATAGGTATCCTTTGCCCGGCTTTAATTTCGTGTTCACCTCCTTCTCTCATCCCGAATGACATCAAGGCATCGCGGAACGCATCACGATTGCTGGGTAGATTGGCGCGGATTGTCTGGTGTAGATGTATTGAATCAATCCCAATCTCGACAAAAACATACAATGTCTTGACATCCTGCGTAAAATTTGAGGGAACAAGGCAAGAGTGTCCATAGTGCACCAACATATCGCAGCCGAGAGCAAGTGCACTGTAATCATCCACACAGCAAGCACCGTAAGTCACATCTCCCATTATCGTTGTCAATGCTGGTGTAAATCTACGTAAGCACTGGTCATTAACTTCGATGTTGAATGTGGGAGAGAAATATCTCTACCTACCTCTCAATGATATCAGCGATCGCACACGCAAACATCTGCAATCCTTCAGGCATCTGTAAAGCTACCATCTTGCTCCCATTCTTCCGTACATGATGGATCGTTTTGTGAATCTCGAAGCTATAGTTTCTTGGAAGGACCTGCTCGATGATGGCGTTCAGGTCGGGGTCTTCAAGGATCTCAGCTGGAATTTGATTTCGTAGAACAAAGTTAGAAGGATCAGAGGTGGAGGAAGGTTTGGAAATCTTTGAGCCAACGAAGCGACGGCGAGGCTTGCTAGCATCTTTCTTAGAATTGAGATTGGGAATGGATTGTTCGGAGGACATCACGAGAAGGGGTGTGATATATTTTCAAGTTTTACAGAGACGAGTAGTAAATTTCATTCTAATCTTATGTGGTTTATCCATATTCAATCCGATATGGTGTAGTGGCTAACATTATCGCCTCTCATATTGGTGAACGCGATAGCCCGGGGTTCGATTCCCCGTGTCGGAATTACATTTTTAAGATGCCAATTTCATACATTACCTCAGTTATCTTCCAGGTTTTTAGCCCTATTATTGTACAGTCATTCGGCCGTCCTTTGAACGGTGAAATTTAGTTACGTTTCGGAATCAAAAATTAGAGACTCTCTCTTAATTCTGAGTATACAGAAAGT